AGGAATGCCAGAAGCAGACGAAGGTAAGAAAGTTTTGGAATAGCAACAGGAGTTAAGTGGGCTTTGAGAGGGCTGCATCCTACTGCCCTTCTCTGCTGATGTTGTGGGAACAGCTGCTGAGACTTGCATTTACTTGCGTTATATTAAACTGCTTTCCTTTTGGCTCTTCAGCTGTTAACTGAGAAGCTCATGGAAGAACTGAGGCGATTTAACCAAACAGCTGCAAAAGAAACGGAGATGCTTCAGGTAAGGCTGTGACTCTTTCAGACTCAACCAGGTAATGAGCGCTTGGTGCCGAGTGAGATTCTGAAGGTTATTTTGCTCCTCCCAGTGCTGCTCTGTTCTCCAAAGGAACTGCAGCACTACTCGCCTTCTGTTATATGTGCAGCAAGGAAACTGTGTTACTCCCCTTGTAAACAGAGGGCTTAAAGCAGAGCTTATGGTGGGGCAAGGTTAATTCTCACCTCAGTCATTTCAGGTTGAATTGTAGCCAATTGAACTTGAAACAAGGTCAAAGATGGAAGCGATGTTAATGACTGACAGCTTTCAAGTGAGACTGAACCAGTTCCAAAGTAAAGACGGCTGGCAGTACTGGAAACGGAGCTGTTGCTGCTCAGACCAGCTCCTCTCGAGAGAGGGTTTTTGCGAGCACGTGGCAGGTGGTTGCAAGCACCGCTGGCAAAGGCTGGTGCACCAGTCCGGCTGTGGGGCCGGGCTTCGGGACCCTCCGTCTAACCTGGAGAGCGTCCAGAGCAGTGACCTCGGGTAGTCTCTCTGGGAACTAGAAGTATGCAAGCACAAGCAGCTTCAGTGTTACTTTGTCTATGTGCTGACCAAAATAGTCATGAAGTTCTAGTTCTACAATTCTTGGTAAGAAGTTTGAGCTAATTAATGAAATTGCTATTATATAAGACTTCCTAAACTTTGGTCACAGATAAATTGATGTTTTCCTGAAGGAACAAAGGTAAAAGACATCCCAGTCAGGCCAGGCTAATCTTAGCTTAGCAGGTAAGACCCTGCTGAAGAGTTCAAATGCTTTAATTGGAGCCGCTTTAGAACTTGGCTTTGCTACTCCGTACTTTTGTGTTAGTAAATGTAGCGTGTGCTGACTTCTCTACACAGACAGCGATGGCCAAGTGGAAATCGGCAGAAGAAGGGATACACCAGTCCCTGGAGAAGCGCTCCTCCTTCCAAGCAGGAATTAAGCAATGCTCGGCAGTACTGGACGAGCTGGAGCAGCTCCTGGCTATGTGAGGCGCCAGGACGGAATGTACTTTTTTTTTTTTTTGACGTTTTCCTCCTCGCTCTGCATCTCTCCTTTGCGAACCTCCTCACGTCTGGGGCTCTGAACCAGCGGTCTCTGCCCGGGGCCAGCAGCCGTGGCTGGGGCGAGCCCTCGCAGCTCCTGGTGCGCTCCCCGCAGCTGCCGGGGCCCTGCCCGGAGGCTCCCGCCGCCCGCCGTGCTGGTGAGCGGCTCCGTCCGTCCGTCGGTGCGGTCTGTCGGTGTGGTGTAACGACCGGGGGTTTTCACCCATTAAATGGGCTGCAAGGAGGCGGAGGCTCGCTGTTACTGCCCGGAGGC